AACTTACTTATACTCTATCAATGAAATGTATTACACACACCGGTGTATGATTCTGCTTCTGAGGGGCGTTAGCCAAAAATCACCTCAGAGTCCGAACAGAATGCAATAAAGAGGTACCTCTAATAAAGCTACTAAGCCAGATTCCCCCACTTCAGTCCTTGTAACGGTGGAGCTCTAGTTGGTGCACATTTAGTCCTTACAATGAAGTAAATAGCAGCTGAAGGCTTCTTTGGAGTTTCAGCTGGGGTTACATCTAGGTTTCTGGGCTGAGAGGGTGCAACCTCAGTGTCTAAACGCAACACAAAGCACCCCAAGACCAGGAGCAGTCGCAGGATACAATCTCCCAGTATGTGTCAGTCCTCGGGGCAGACAGTCTCAATTACACTGGTGGTGAGGGGCAAAGCAGGCAGAGGGATCTGTGGCTTGCACAGGGCCCTGGATGGGTGAGATCCCAGCAGTGGGGTGCGGATGTCCCAGTCTATATGCAAAGTGTAAATGGTGTGTCTTACTCTCTCCAGTGGGACAGCTCACCAGACTCTGAACACACAGCAGGGTCCCTCTATCCGCGCTGAGTGCTGTAGTGCCTCCTCCTCTGCTTGGACGGGCTCCACATGTCCCTGTCTTTTCTCCAGCCTCGTGTCTCTCTGTTCTTCCCTTCACTTCCTGCTTCCTCCCCCTCCCAGCGTTCTTTGCTGTGTAGTGGATGAGTCATGAACTTGGCAGAATGCCCAGGTTTTACAAATAGGAGAGAGAGAGAAAGGACTGACTGCTGAACATGTGATTCCTTCTGAATCCTATTGTACAAGGAGCCTGCTACACGGGGATGGGTTGATAGTTGTGCTATTGATCTTGACTGAGAAATCAGGGGAAGAGGCACGTGGGGAGGAAATATTATGAGCTCAGTTTTGGATAGTTGGATAGTTTTTGAGTGAGCTGAGGAGTAGAGAGAGATTTGTGTGTCATCAGCATAGAAATGGTATTGGAAACCACGGTAAGCGATCAGCTGACCCAAGGCAGAAGTGTAGATTGAGAATAGGAGAGGTCCAAGGACAGAACATTGGGGGACCCTGACAGTAAGAGGAGTAGAAGAGAAGGAAGTAGAGTTGTAACTGACACTGAAGGTGTGGTGAGCTAGGCAAGATTAGAAGCAATGGAGAATATAGTCACGGAGGCTCTTTGAGGAGGAGGGGGTGGTCAACTGTGTCAAAGGCAGCGGAGAGGTCCAAAAGTAAGAGTACAGAAGAGTGACCATTGGTTTTATCTGTTAGTAAGTCATTTGTGAGTTTTAGAAGAGCAGTTTCTGTGGAGTGTTGTGGGTGAAATCCAGACTGAAGAGGATCGAGAAGGTTATTCTCAATGAGGAGGCAGGCAGCCGGAGTCCAGTGAGGCCTAATAAAGTATGGGGGTGACTAGCACATGTTTTAGAGGGTTGGGGAAGATGCCAGTAGAAAGGGAGAGATTGAAGATATGAGTTAAAGTGTGAAGAATAGAGCCAGAGGGTGACTATAGTATTTGTGAGGGAACAGGGTCCAGGGGACAGGTGGTTAGGTGGGCTTTAAAAAAAGGTTTACCAACTTCCTCTATAGTAGCTGGGTTAAACAAGGGAAGCATTGATTGTGGAGGTCGACAAGGAGTGGAGGGTGAGGGAGATATTTGTACAATGGAGATCTCTTCACCAATTGTATCAATCTTATTTTTAAGTGATTAGTGATCTCCTGGGTAGTGAGTGAGTAATTGGGTACAGGTAATGAAGGATGAAGTAGAGAGTTAATGGTAGAAAAAAAAGAGTTGAAAGGGACTGCATGAGATGGTGTTAATGAGAGTGATAAAACAGGTCTGTGTGGCAGTGTGGAGGCAGGAATTGCATTTTTGAAGGGCAGATTTATATTGGTCAATGTCTTGTTGGGTCTTAGTCTTAAGCCACAAACGCTCAAGAGCACCGCTACTTTTTTTTAGGCATCTGGTATTGTCTGTTTGCCAGGGCTGTAACGGTCGGGGCCTAATTCTGTGTGTAGTGAGGGGGGCCAATGCATGCAGGGTGGATGACAGTGAACTGTTGTAGACAGAAGTGGCCAGGTTGGGACAGGACAGGGCTGAGATTTTGTCATAGAGACAATCTGTTGCAGAACAAAGAAGAGAAAGGTTAAGATAGCAAAGGTTTCTACGGGTAACTGTTTGGTAGTTGGAAGACAAGGAGCAGGAAGCCAAGGAGACAGTGAAGCTAATAAGGGAGTGATCAGAGAGAGGAAAAGGAAAGTTGGTGAGAATGAGTGCATAGGTAGGAGAATACAAGGTCAAGGCAGCTACCATTAGAGTAAGTAGAAGCATGTGTCCATTGTTTTAGGTGAAAAGAAGTGGTTAGGCTCAGAAGTTTAGAAGTAGCAGGAGTGTTAAGGTTAACGGGGATGTTAAAGTCACCGACAATAATTTTTGGAATTTCAGAAGAGAGTAAGTAAGGAAGCCAGGTAGAGAAGTCATCAAGGAAGCTGATACCAGTCCAGGAGGCCAATAGATCACAGCAATTCTTAAAGGAACAGGAGAGAATAGTCGAATACGATGAGCTTCAAATGAGGAGAGGGACAGAGAGGGAAGTGAATGAAGGACTTGAAAAGTGCTTTGAGGGGATAGGAGGATTCCAACTCCACCTCCTTTCCATCCACTAGGCCTGGGAAAGTGACTCCAGAGGAGACCACTATGGGAGAAGGCAGCAGAAGAGGAAAAGTCAGATTCATGAAGCCAGGTTTCGGTAATTGCAAGTAAAAGGTGTTTGTGATAAAAAGGTCATGGACAGATAAGAGTTTGTTACAGAGCGAGTGGACATTCCAAAGGGCACAGGAAAAGGGGAGGCTGGTTCTAGGAGGAAGAGGAATAGTAACCAGATTGTGTGGATTGCAGAAGCTGTTAGAGGATAGGGGTTGACAGGTGTGTTGGTCAAAGGAAAAAGATGGTGGCCCAGGATTTGTGGAAATGTCTCCAGATGTTAGGAGAAGCAGAAGGTCAGAGAGGTAATATGGGAGTATGGTTTATATGGAGGGACAGGTCCCAGTGTCCTGTAGGTTTTATTAGTATGTGGGTTCAGAATTAGCAGGAGTTGATGAGTTCAGTATTAAGGTGAAGACAGGAGTGAGGGTGATATATAGAAGCTGTGGGATGGAGAAGAGGGGTGAAGGAGAGATTGTTTGTAGAGAGGGGATACAACCGTGAGAAGGAGGAGTAGGTAGTTGTGAGATGAAGAAGCAGACTGGGTAAGAGATGAAAAAGCTGGATGGGGAAACAGGTTACCTGTAGTCTGTTTAGTATTTGGAGTTATCTGTTGTGGCTTCTCGCTTTGTGCAGCTGCTGAAGTGCAGAGCTGAAGTTCACTGCTCAATACTTAATCCAAAATTAATACTTTATCCAAGATGATAGTTGCCAATGCTACCCTTGGCTGTGCTGCCCCTGGCTGTGCCTCTCATAAGGAAGGCCTAAATTTATACAGAGTTTGGTGAGGGTATTGCTAATTAATCAATTAGGAATGCATAGGAGAGACACATGGCTAGCAGAGCAAACTTCTCACACCGAAGGAGGACTACAAGACACAACAAGAGAGAATGAGGGCAGAGTATGAAAGATTACGATCAGCTCCTAAATTTTGGTTAGACAATACGAGCAACATAACACCACAGTAATATGGACAGAGTTAAAGATTTTTGATGGAGCAATAAGAATACTGATAGTAATGAATCAGCTTCAGTTAGAGGTGGATTTTGAAAACAGTATATATTACCATATAGCACAGTCGTGTCAGTTAGCAGTCATACATGGCATGGGCGATAGTACAGATGGATATTGCTCGCAGACATTTACCATATAGCACAGCAGTGTCAATTAGCAGTCATTTAAATATAAAGCCACATCCCCCATGAGGCGCCTCCCCTCCTTGTAAATTACAAACTATATTATAACATAGACTGACCATATAAATATAAGGAAGGGGGTGCAGAATCCCGACGCGTTTCACACTCTGGCTTCTTCAGGGATTCAGGGGGTGCAATTAATATGGCTGCTAAAAATAGAAATCAAAAAGCAAATCATTACATATATACTTAAAAATACATAATGTACATTTAAAAGTATCTGCACATGTATAGGGCCATATATATAGCTGACTTACATCTGTGAATTCCACTGAGCCCATTCAGTTGAGGAGGAATCTCAATTGGATCCTACACAGTACTCTCGTCAGGCCTGTCAATGATCGTGGACAGCAATAGATGGAAGATAAGTGCCTGCAAGTGACAGCCAAAGAAGTAATCCAGGGATACCAGGAGTACTACATTCAGAGGGGGGGTGACAACGTTCCCAAAATATATCCAGAATAAAGATCTTAAAGAAAATATATAGAAAAAAAAGAAAAAGGCATTGTGGTACTAAAAAAGCATTGCCATTATTATGGTGATATATCAAGATACTCTAGCCGACAAACCACCTAAATATCATATCAGTTACCTGTGTTAGTATCAACAAGTCACAGGGTAAGATCAAAAAGCGAAACAAGACTTCCATTAAGATTAAGGCCAGTAAATCCTCAACATATAACACAAATCAAGCTCCCAATAAAGAAAATAACTCAGGGAGAACTAAAGTTATTAGGTTTATTGGGGGCTTGGCTTTTTGTAACTAGGTATTATTAATGAACACAGGCATATCTCCAGAGACATTTGGGCTTTTTGATCTTACCCTGTGAGTTGTTGATACTAACACAGGTGACTGACACCATTTTTACCTTTGACTTCAGCACCACTTTAAGTTCAGACATACTGTATGCTGATATTTGGTTCTGTATATACTCATAATTTTGTCCTCCTAACACACAGTGCTATCAAAATCATCAAAAGTTTGTGTAAGAATTACAATTTGACATTACAATTACATGAACTTTATTATACTTACACCTACAACTGAGTAGACAAGCAAAAATATTTTTCTGATACTGTTATTAAAGTGTTACTAAACCCTGAATTCACTCTATCTGGTCTCCCACAGTACACAGAACATGAAATTTATTTTAGTAAATATAAACTGCTAAATACGTTTTCTCATCAACAGTTAGAGCAGTTTTGTGACTTCTATCAGTGTCCAGCCAAGCACTAGTTAAAGCTTGTAGGAGGAATTTTCATTTTGCTCTAGGAGGATGCAGAACCCCTGACCTCTGACCACTGTCTTGAGTGATGATTGGCCCCGTGCTCATCAATTCACTCTCCCAAGAAAAAAAATACCTCTCTAATCATACACACCAAACTGAGCTTGTGCAGAGTGACTCCACACGATATGTCTTATCGGGAGATACGAGAGGGACACTGGAAGAAGGGGAGGATCAGAGAAGTCAGGATCAAACAGCGTTTTTATACAATGCAGAGGATTAACCTATTAGGTTCCACAGTGAGTATAACAAGCATGCTTTACTGCATATACAAACTGATTTTACTGTTGGAGATTTAGTAACAAGGTAAAAAGGTCTTACAATTTTTTTATCTATGTTATGTAAGTCCAAAGCAAACACTAGGCACAAGAGAAACTATGGGCACCCGAACACAAAGTTCACATACTAGTAACAAGACAGTAGAGTTCACCAAATATTTGTCTCAATGCCAAAACCCACAGAGAAGGAAAAACACTAACACTTCTTTTAGCTTATGTAAATTACTTCTGAGGGTGAATTTGAATGTCCTACTATCCACATTTATATGATGACTTGCCCATTTGTCATGGCAACTTATGTTATGATTGCTGTTAAGTTTTTTAACCACTTCATGTCCGGACACTTTTACCCTCTTCCTATCCAGTGCTGTCACACTTTGAATGACAATTGCACGGTCATGTAACACTGTACCCATATGAGTTTTTTAGTATTTTTTTGAGACAGATAAAACTTTATTTTGGTGGTATTTATTCACCACTGGGATTTTTAGTTTTTTTGCTATATAAATGAAAAAGTCAAAAAATTTTGAAAAAAAAGTGCTTTTCTTATAAAATTTTGCAAATAAATTACCTTTCTTCATAAATCTTGGCCAAAATGTATTCAGTTATCTTTTTAGTAAAAAAAAATAACCCAAATTAGTTTATAACCAAAAATTATAATTTAAAAAAAAATTTGTTTTACATTTTTATTTTATTTTTTTATAATATTATTTCTGTTTTTTTATGTAACATACTGTCACACTAGCAGTACAGTGTCACCATAGTGACACTGTACTACTTGTGTGGGGTGATGAAGATTTTTTTTTTTACACTGATTGCTTTTATACCCATAAAGGCTGTAAAAGCAATCATTTCTCCTTCTCTCTGGCTGTATTCTTGCAGCCATTGAGAACTACTGTGTGAGCTGTGATTGGTCACAGTTTGTCACATGGTACAAGGCTGTTGTGAATAGCCTTGTACCATGTGACCTCTGTGATCATTCACAGATTTCACACGTAGTAAGCAATGTCACAAGTGACATCTTGCTTACTACTTTGCATGTGATCACTGATTGGCCAGTCAGTGATCACATGATCGGGACATCGTACAGAGGTCCCGTCCAACGAACGGTGTTTCACTGTGTCACAGATTTCACACGTAGTAAGCAATGATGTCAGGAAGTGACATCTTGCTTACTACTATTCATGTGATCACTGATTGGACAATCAGTGATCACATGATCGGGACCTTGCACAGAGGTCCCGTACAGCGATCGGACACAGCGGGCACCAGATCACGCGTCACGCGCTCTCAGGGATCGTGTGCCATGATCTCCCAGGGAGCTCACACAATGCACAATGGAGGGCGCCATTTATGAACGGCAGCCCGCCCCTGCACTGCCACCGTCTGGCCATTTATATACAGTGGCCGGACGGGAAGTGGTTAAGTTAACATACTAATTTTTGTGTCGAAATGTTAGGGCCATAGAGTTGCATATGCAGGCAAATCCTGCAGTAGATTCCTGAATAGTATATCATACTATCTATCTATCTATCTATCTATCTATCTATCTATCTATCTATCTATCTGTGTTAGACAAAAACATGGAAACACGACATGATTTGCAGGTGTGAGAGTGGAAGTGATGTAACATTCTTTTGCTTCGGCTGTGTGACGAGACATCTAGCTAGCAGGTGGGAAGTCTCACTTTCGTCATTTTCTGCATGTGCTGCTAGTAATACAGAGTTATGTCAGAGCTTACTGAGCTTCAGGCTAGGTTCACACTTGTGCGGTACAGTATATCACATGTGATTCGCATAGAAACCGCACGGCATTCCTGTGCAAATCACATGCGAATTGTGTGCTGTATGATTGGAGCCATACATTTTGTATATCTGAAATCACATCGCAACCGCCACCAAAAAGGTGCAGGACCCATTTTTTTGTCCGCACTAGCATCGGATCACAGTGGTATTCACACCCATGCAATCTGATTCTTCGCATCGCGCTGCGTTCTGCATACCGATTTCGGGGTGTTGTTAACATACACACCCGCAGTGGTTCGCATGCATGGGGTGCGATTGTGATGCGGTGCGGAATTCACACAGAAAATGCTGCAAATTACGCATAGCATCAGTGTGAACCCAGGCTCAAAGAGCTTGTTGGTGTCTCTGTGACTGGAGTTGCCAATTTATTTGCTGTGTCACGAGGTACAGTAGCAAAGGTTATGATGGCACATACAGTTTCTGGGAAAACGTTCTCTGATAAGCATAAGCGCGGTCAACATGGTCAACTGACCAAAAAAGACATTGCGCAAGATTGTGACCCGGAATAAGAAAACAACTGCTGCAAAAGTGACTGCAGAACTCACTCTCAGTCTTCACTGAGATTTAGGAGACAAATGGAATGGGTCAAAAAAAAAAAGGAAAAGGAGGGGAGAAATAGGGGTATTGGGGATGGAAGGTAAAGAAGAAGGATGAAAATGGAGAGAAGAAGATAGGAAGGGAAGGGAAACACAACAATTCGTAAACCAGCTTTATACCACAACATTATGCTTTGTTGTACTATGCAGCAGGGTTGAGTAAGTGATTAAAGCACAAAAGGATATGTAATATTTAAATGAAGTTATACATAATAAGTACAGTTGCTAAGAATCTGTTTGAGGATATCACTGGACATTTAATACCTTCTGAGTGTCTAGGGTAATTGAGTCAATTGGAGGAAAATGTTTGTAGCTGATGAGAGGGTACCCAACCATAGAGCCTAGATCTTCAAGAACTGTGCGGGGCAGTCTCTGTTCTGGTAGATATCTTGGTAGCAAGGTGGCAAGTTTGAGTTCATTAGTGGTTTCCAGAAGGAAATTGTGGGAGACGTGTTTCTTCTTCCAGGAAGTTTAACAGCTACAGTGTACATGACCCAAGTTTACTGAAGTGGTTCTCCCAAAACAGCATAGTTTATCATTTATTATTGTGGTATTTCCTGGGAGATAAGGAGTTATGCATTAAAAATATAGAAAAGACAAAAAAAATACATCATCCCCATGCTGTCTTCTCATAAATGAGACCACCATTTCTTCTTTTCTCCCGCTTTTCAAAAAACCATCCATCACAAAACTTCATTATCCCTAAAGCCTCACCTGTCCATCTCACATCAAATAAAAAAGATTCATTTAATTCTCTGTCTGGAGAGGTGGAGATGTAAAATGAGCGGCCATCTGAAACACTTATCAAACAATAACCAGCATAGTAATGCCGAATCGGCTGTATATTTACGCCATCTCTCTGAATGTCTGGCTATCCCTCTTCCCAATGCGACAAGCAGATGACAGGAAGACATTTCCTGAAAGCCTTTGTAGATGGGGTTTCTTGCGCTGCTAGATGACATCCTTCAGTTATATGTTCTTTCCAGATTTTTCCCCATAAATGGATGTTTGGAGTTGCTCGTGCAGAGCAATAGCTGTATGTATTTTTTTAACTGGTTGCAACAAAGTAACAACATTGTTTTCATGCTCTCTAAGGCTCTTAAAGAATATGTAAATCAGTGTTTTAAGTGAGGTGACAGGTAGAATTAAAAAAACTTCAGTCTAGTCAACCAAGCAGCATATCCTATGTGCCCTGTTGAAGGTGCACAGCCAACAGGAATACCACAGAGTTCGTTTAGAGAAATGGCCACTGTGATAAATAATAGTAGTTGACTTGCTGACTATTTATCTGAAAAAAATAGAAACTTTTCATATTGTGAGAAATGTCAAAGTGTAATGACCCCCAACCTTCCAGCCCCCCAAACAAAAAATGTAATGTATTTCAACTTACCAGACCTTAAAGTGACTGTAAAGGTTCATATTTTTTCAAATAAACGTGTTATACTTACCTGCTCTGTGCAAAGGTTTTGCACAGAGAAGCCCAGATCCTTTTCTTCTTGGGTCCCTGGCTGTCGTGCCTGGCCCCTCTCCCTTGCTCCCGTGTGTGTGTGCTTGCTCCCGAGCCGCCTTTGTGTGTCTATGAGACACACAGATCGTGGCTCGGCCCCACCCCCTGCTCCCTCCTCACTGGCTGTGATTGGCAGCAATGAGAGCCAATGGCTCCTGCTGCTATATCTCAGCCAATGAGGAGCCAGAGACCTGGGAGAGCTTCCGTTCTCATGCACATCACTGGATCTGGATTGGGCACAGGTGAGTATAAAGAGGAAGCTGCACACACTAAGGGTTTTTTACCTTTACTCATAGAATATTTTCTGTATTTTCAAGTACAGAAAACACCTGTTGATCTTACCAGAAATGCAGTGTCTTTGCAGCTTCCTGTGAACTTAACCACTTTCTGTTCGCCCGCCCACAATGTACTGCGAAAGGGCATCAGCTACAGGACCAGCGACACAGGTTTGCTTCTGTTCCTGGAGAGCTGTGATTGGCCCACAGCTCTCACACGGTACATGGGGCCAATCACAGCACCCTGCACCATGTGACCAGCTGGATCCAATCACAGATCACTGTATTTTGAACTGTCATGAACTTAAACCATTCATAACAGTTCAAAGCAAACATTGCATTGCAGGAGCAATAATCTTTATTGCTCTTGCAATGCAAAGTGTAAAAAAAGACCATAAAAAAAACCCTGATTACCCCCCCCCCCCAGAGTAGTACAATGTTACTATGATAACATTGTACTACTCTGATGAAAGTATTTTTTTTTAATTAAAAAAGGAAAAATATTGTTAAAAGAATTTAAACATTTTTTATTTTTTTTAACTACTTTCCGCCTGCCAACCCACAATGTGAGGGAGAGTGACAGCTCTGGGCAAAGCAGCGTACCTTTACATCGCTTTCTATTTCCAAGTGTGCATGCGAATACAGAATTTTTCACTGATCACTGTATTACTGCCACTAGCGACATCAGATAGCATCAGGGTCTGTAAACTCCTCTCTCAGCCAGGGTCGGCTAGCACACTATCAAACTCACGCTATAGGTCACTGATCACTGCCATTACTAGTATAGTGTTTGTACGGATCAATATACTGATCACAAACAGAACTATACTAGTGCCTCCTTAGGTTGGTGTCCCCAAAAATGCAATGTTAGCAGGATCAGCCCAGTTCACTGCCATTTAGCTGCTCCACTGGTTTTCATGGAAGATTTGTTTCAATTGATTGTGGGTCAAACCTTTTTACGCACAATACATGGCTGCCCACCCAAATTCAGCTCTTGCCAGACAAATTGCATGGAAACCTATCACGGTTTCTGAATTTATAACTTTTTTGGGGCCTATCCCTCAACATGTGTATCACAAGAAAGAATGAATTGCGGTCATATTGGTCCACAGACCCAATTCATCAAATGCCCATTTTCTCTGCTTTTACATATATGCCCAACAAGGACCTGATAATGCAGCCAGCAGTTCTGCTTGATGACCATAGAGCTGATTGGAGACTGGAATGCCTCCAATCATCTCTATGGTCTAAGAGACCAGAAGCTACAAGCATTTCATCATTTCCGTTTCTCTGGATATAAACAGCGCCATTTTAAAATAGGGAAAGCATCTGATCACACCGATCTTGGTGCGATCAGATGCTTTAAGGGCAGAGGAGAAATCTAGAGTCTAATATGCCCCATATTTCTTAGAAAAGAGGACAGTGTAAAATTAATAAAAAACAAAATAAATTAAAAAAAAATCACCTCCATCCCCGTGCGCAAAAGCAAATGCAAGCGGTGGTCCCATGTCGATATCTAAACAGAGATTTCACCATGCAACAATTCTAGCACTAGACCTCTTGTGTAAGTCTAAAGTGCTGACCTGTAAAGGCTTTTAAAGAGTCACCTATGGATATTAAAAATTTACATGGTTTGTCACCGTTGCACAGGCATGCGCAATTTTAAAGCATGTCATGTTTGGTATCTATTTACTTGGAGTAACATCATCTTATATAGTTTATAAAATAATTGGACATTATATTTTGTTTCTGTGCATCAGAATTCTAATAAGTGTATTTTTTCCAAAAACTTTGCGTTTGAAAAATTGCTGCGCAAATACTGTGTGACAAAAAATTTCAACACCTACCATTTTATTTTCTAGGGCCTCTGCTTTAAAAATATATATAATATTTGGAGGTTCATAGTCATTTTCTAGCAAAAAAAAAAACTGCCCTTTTGTGTAAACAAAAAGTGTCATCAAAGGCTTGGTCTTCAAATGGTCAGAAGAATGGGTGTTGTGTGGCATAAGCTTTTAATGTTGGCCCTATAATTCCAGGATAGTAGAAGCACCCACCCCCCCCCCCCCCCACAAAAATGACCCCTATTTGGAAAGTAGACACTACTAGGTATTTGCTAAGAGGCACAGTGAGTATTCTGCAGATCTCATTTGTTGTTTTTGGAAAATGAAGAAAGAAAACAAAAATGTTTTTTTTTCCCTTTCAAAATCCTGGACAAAAATTATATATGCAAAATACTCACCATGCCTCTTATCAAATTCCT